TTCATTTAGCCTAAAACAGAAACCAAAATAGTTTATTCAGAGATCAAATAATTTAATTTATTTAATAATTAACACTCAAAATTCAAAACTGAGATGTATATAAGCATGTGAATTGTGTGCATAAGGCTGTCTTTATATGGGACCACAAAACCAGTCATAAGGGTTAAATTTTTTTAATTGAGATTTATACATCATCTGAAGCTGAATAAATAAGCTTTCCATTGATGTATGGTTTGTTAGGATCGGACAATATTTGGCTGAGATACAACTATTTGAAAATCTGAAATCTGAGGGTGCAAAAAAATGAAAGTATTGAGAAAATCGCCTTTAAAGTTGTCCAAATGAAGTTCTTAGCAATGCGTATTACTAATCATAAATTAAGTTTTGATATATTTACGGTAGGAAATTTACTAAATATCTTCATGGAACATGATCTTTACTTAATATCCTGACGATTTTTTGCATAAAAGAAAAATCGATAATTTTGACCCATACAATGTTTTTTTTTGCTATTGCCACAAATATACCCCTTAACAGTGACTTAAGACTGGTTTTGTGGTCCAGGGTCACATTTAAGATGTTAGCAAAAAAAAAAACTGCACCATATTACCACTTAAAATGTCTTTAAATGTTGAATAGACAACAGCTCTTATATAAAATGAAACAGTAGGACGTACCACAGGCCCATTAGCACCATCTGCAGGCAGTACACCTCCAGTATCTTGATTCCTCCTCCCAATCCGCTGAGAATGAGCTGGGTAGTGGTGCAGTTTGACTAAACCATCTGGAAGATAAATGGATAATACCTTTTATGGCTATCTAATGAGTAATATACCAGCATTTCAAAGTTTGTGGTCTGCAAGATTTTTTAAAATGTTTTTTTTAAAGAAGTCTCTTATGTTCACCGAGGCTGCATTTAATTGCATTTAATCACAAATACAGTAAAGTTGTAAAATATTATTATAATTTAAAATAACTGTTTCTAAGTATTCAGTGTTACATGATCCTTAAGAAATAATTCTAATATGCTGATTTGGTGTAAAAAAAAATTAAAAGAAAAAAAAAACATTTAATTTTATTTTCAATGTTAAATATCATTGTGCTGCTTATATTTTTAAACTAAAAAGTAAATTTTTTTTTCCTCTGAATTCTTTGATAACCAGTCAGTTACAAAAGAACAGCATTTATTTGAAATAAAAATATTTTGTAACATTATAAATGTTTTTACTGTCACTTCTGATCTATTTAATGCACCTTGCTGAATAAAAATATTATTTTCTTTCAAAAAAAAAAAAAACATACTCCAAACTACTGCACATGCTAAGTAGTATAGTTGCAGTCTATTCTATGGTAGTGTATATTCTATTCTATCATAAAAGTTGAAACCAGGACATTCAGTGACCAAAGCTTTATGTGCATTACACATAATTGAATGTATAAGTGAGGTAATTGAATGTTACTGTACAACCACTATTAAACAGAACTCACTAGGCATGTGTGTGATGGGGTTATAAGAGGTTTTGACCACACTTGGGCTCACTGCTGGGCTGGTGCTTTCAGCAGCTGAGTGTGTTTGCTCAGGCCTCCTGAGAGGTTTCGCAACAGCTGCTCCAGTTCCATTAGAGCTCTTCTTGTCATTAGGAGATTTCCTGTCATGATCTCCATCCACGCCACGCTTGCCTTCTCTTTGAGAGCCAGCACCTGTTTCATTGCTTTTGTCCATTCCACTGTCCCCATTCACGTCTGCCGTCTTCTCCTCTGATTTCTGTGCGAAATGAGGTTGTTTGTGCATCTGCCGACTGGCCCTTTTTTCCAGGATCATCTTTTACAGGAGAAATTGGAAAGTTGTTTTTAAGCATTTGCTAATATAAATACATGCTAATATACAATTTTTCTAATATTTTAATGATTTTTAAGGCTGCATTTATTTAAACACAAATACAGTAAAACAGTAATATTGCAAAAAATTATTACAATGTATTCTACCATTTATTTTCTTAAAAATAAAAATCATCAACCCAAACTTTTAAACTTCAGTGAACAATTATTTATGCTCAGTTTGTGTGATTTCTGTCACTGTGACAGCATTTGTCGCCATAACACAGAAATCATATGACTGTGTACATTCACAACATTATGACTGTTCAAAGCAAAGCACGAGACAAAGGTCAAAATAAATCTGTGAAAAAAGTTTCCACTCACCTCATAGAGTTTGTTTCTGTACTGAGTAACAGAGAGCTGGACGTCATCGTCCACTGGCAAAATGACATCATAGACCAAACTAGGCTCTCTGGCTGGGTTGTGAAATCTTGCATGACAAATAGAAAGAAGAGGGATATTTTTGAATGTTATTATTCATTTATATATTTAGTAATTCATTTATTCATATAACAACAATGCAATAATTCCAAAAAAGCCATTTATCATTATGACTTATCATTATGAAGTATTCTCGTAGCTTCATAACGTTACAGTTGAACCACTGATGTCACATGGACTATTTTAATGATGTCCATACTTTGTTTCTAGGCCTGGGAACATTTCAGTTGCATTGCTGTCTATGCAGGGTCAGAGAGCTAATGGATTTCAACCAAAAATATCTTAATTTGTGTTCCGAAGATGAACGAAGGTCTTATAGGTTTGGAACGAGTACCATGAGGGTGAGTAATTAATGACAGAATTTTCATTTTGAGGTGAATTATCCCTTTAATAGCCATTCATCAATTGTTATCATATTTTAATTTCTTTCAAATATAGTGCACTGATGATCAAATACAATGTGTCAAGTGCTGTGTATTAGGAAAGTAGACAGAGTCAATTTTGATTTCATGTTGACTTACATTATTATTTAAAAACATTAAATAACTAAAAGCAAAACTCACTTGGACACATAAGGGTGCTGCAGAGCTTCCTCTGCACTGAGTCTCTTGTCTGGATTGAAAACCAGCAGGCGCTGCACTAAATCAAGGGCATCAGGTGGCACTGATGCCGGCAGAATTTCATCAAATGGCACCTGAGGTCTAAACACACGTTCACATCAAACATGGTTATGATGTCAGCAGAGTCATCATTCAAGATCAACTAAACAACCATAGAATGAAGACAAACTGTTAAATATTAACATTACATACCTAAGCAGCATTCTCTGAATCACAGAAGCCCCATACTCTGATCTGATAGCCAACACATCTACGAAAAATAATATACAGTCCTATTAGCAAAGTTTGGTTTGTGTTTTTAATAAATTAATAATTGATGAAACAATCCATAATTCTTTGTGGCTGGTTTATTTAGTTGTTGTCTGAAAGAACAAGTCTCATGTAAAATTCGAACTCACCCTCTGTAGAAGGATGTGGAATGGCACTCATGATTTTTTCGATTTGATTAATGGTAGACGTCCCGGGGAAGAGAGGCTTGCCCAGGAGCATCTCTCCCAGAATGCAACCTATGCTCCACATGTCTACACCTTTTGTGTACCTGCAGGAAATATAGGACCCATTATCATAACATACTATATATTATGATTAATAAATAAAACTAAAACTTAATAAAAAAACCTATATATAATAAAAAAAACTAATAAAATGACAACATTACTACAACTGTAACTAAAACTAAAATAGATAACTAATACAAATCAAACTACACATACATAATAAATACATTATAAAATGTTTAAAACAATCTATTCTGGGGGCCACGCACCTACTGGATCCCAAGAGAATTTCAGGGGCTCTGTACCATCGTGTTGCCACATACTCTGTCAAGGCAGGATTCACGGCATCCTCTTGGATCTGGTACAGGGATCTTGCCAAGCCAAAGTCACACAGCTTCACAAAGCAGTCTGTGTCTAGTAAGATGTTGGATGGCTTTAGGAAATAAAAATAAAGGAATTACTTAAACCAGAAATGGTTTAAATTAATCCTGTAAGCGTGAAGTAATGTTAAAAGGTGTGACATACCTTTTGGTCCCTATGAATGACATTGCCTGAATGAAGGTATTTTGTCGCTTTAAGAAGCTGGTACATAACATAACGCTTATGAATGTCTTTTAATAGACTTCCTTTCTTTATTACTGCATGTAGGTCTGTGTCTGAAAAGAAAAGTCGGTGTGAATATAGTATAGACATTGTGAACAAAATCACATCATGTCAATAACAGTAAGTTGGAATTATGAATATTGCCATAGAGTACAATTAATTGGAATATAATGGTGTGAAGAGTACTGACTAATAAGTGCGAAAGATCACACAAATGGTCTCTTACCCATGAATTCAAACACAAGGTAAATGTCTTTGTCGTTTTGGGCTCTGATGACATTCAGTAATTTAATTATGTTAGGATGATCCCCAAACTCCTGCAAAAGGGGGAAAAAAGAAGGAAGTTTGATACCTTAACAAACACAGAATTAAGTTTTTAATGTAATCTATTGTGTGTGGGGTCAGTAGATTTTTTTCTCAAAAGAAATGAATACTTTTATTCAGCAAGGACGCATTAAATTGACCAAAAGTGACAGTAAAGGAATTTATAATGTTACAAAAGATTTCTATTTCAAATAAGCAGAACAAAATATGAGCATAACAACTGCTTTCAACAATGAGAATAACATATTTCATTAGGCACCAAATTAGCATATTAGAATAATTTCTGAAGGACACAGGAATACATTGCATTTTAATATATATTAAAAATAGAAAACAACTATTTTAAATTGTAATAATATTTAACAATATTACTGTCTTACTGTATCTTTGATCAAATAAATTCAGCTTGGTGAGCATAAGAAAATTCTTTCAAAAGCATTTTAAAATCTTACCAACAACAAACTTTTGAGCAGTAGTGTAAATATGGTTAGAAACATGAATATTTGGATTCTAAGGTTTGGTCAAAGAGCAATATTCTTACCTGGAGGAACATAATTTCTCTGAATGTTCTCTATGGGAAAATGCAGACAAGCAGATAAGTATGCATTTGATACAGTTTAAAAAATAACGAATAACTGATCTGAATCTGAATAACTGATGTTTACCTATTCATACATACAGTAGAAGTAGTATAATTTTGTATATTTTATTGCAATTTCAGACCATTCCTTATTCTCCACCTCTCTATTTTACTTGTCTCTAACCTGAGCATCTGTTCGATTCCTAAAGGCATCAAAGATTTTTTTCACAGCAACAGTCTCTCCTGTTTTTCTGTCCACAGCCTTCCAAACAATTCCATATGCCTGTGAAACGGATAAGAAAGTACACCGTAATAAAATTATAGTTGATTGAAGGAAAACATACAGTGTATGACTTAATGGTCAGTTGTCAGAGTAGGGTTGCCATGAATCCCTCATTTAAGTCATTTGTGCTCACTGCAGTTTCCATTTATTTACTGGAGTGACAGAAGAGAGATCATGCAGTCCACAGAACCCTTACTGACTGCCATTATTAGCAGTTCAAGCAGTTTCCCTATGATGTTTACTGCCATTATTAATCCAAAGGGTGGCCTTTCTTTGCACATACATATTTTATGTTAGATTACTATTTTGTAGTTTATATTTTTACTCAAAAGGAACTTTTTGTCTCATTACTTTTTGAAGGATTAAACAGAAACAACAGACCTTAATTGCACCTAGTTAAACTGCATCCGGCAACTACAGTACAGCAGTTCTTTCAAGCATATATGATCACTATTGTGCAAACCAATGAGTGATAGAAACAATAGCCCCATGATCCCCGTTTCAGTTTTAGGTGGGATTTCATACAAATTATTCCTCAAATTTTATTTAGGATAGTCCAGATGAAGCTGATGGTCTAATTCAAGACAATCAACATAACAGCAAATACATTACACTGTCTGGTTATTATATAACTATGTAAGATTTTATAAGGTTTATCTTGGCACTTTTTAAACACAATAACAGTAAATGTACATCTTACCCCTTTCCCAAGTCTTCTCTTGATTTCATATTTCAAAGTGATGTGTTCTTCCACCTCTGTGATGTTCATTCCGTCTATTTCCTGTTTTACCACTTAAAATTAATCTTAATGTTGATTGATTTTGATCATGGCAGGAATAAAATCCTGGCTGCTTGAGGAATGCAGGATTGCAACAAATCAGATTTAATAAACAAAAACTAAAAACAAGATCTTATGAATTCACTCCACTAACTAGGAGTGAACTTTTCCTAAGCGATATGCCGAATAATAAATCTAAACACGAATTTATCAAGCGTTAATCTTAATCACTATTGACCATCCAAACATTTAAACGGAGTTATATAAATTCTAATCTCGACCTGCGGAAAGCAGATGTTTGCGTCGTTTGGATTTCACCATTGGTATCTGTGGTTGCTCATATGGCCTGGTAGAAAGTTGCGCATCGCTTGGGTTTGTAATTGTTTGTCGCCATGGAGACGATACATAGGACGCAATCTCTTAAAGGAGCCGCATGTTTGCTAAAAGTGCGGTTACATTAGCGAAATTTCGGCAAAAACGGTCAATGGTTAATTGTCAATTATATACTTATGTATGAAGCATTACCTACACAGAAGTCTCTTTCAAAACAAGCAGCTTTTGCTTGGTCAGCACCGGGAATGACCAACTTAAACCCGTTTTGAAATCTGAATGGGGAAATCTTTCGCCAACAAAAAGTCACCTGAAAACAAATCCGGTAAAAATGACCCTTAGTATAGTGTTTCGGAACCCTCGGTCCAATTTGCTTAGGTTTGAATGTAATTAACATGGTGCAGATATCCATATATCATGCATTACTGTGTGTGCTGTTGGCTAGTAGACATTATATTGAGGTATTCAACCAAATGAAAGGGTTTAATATAATTATTTGTACATATAATCACACAGAGTTGTACATATAATCACAAATATTTTTTGTAAAAAATATTTATCATAATACAAGTATTATGTGGTTTATTTCAAAACTATTTTATTTACATAGGGCATTTAATAAATATGCCTTATTACAAAGTAGGAGCCGCATGTTTGCTAAAAGTGCGGTTACATTAGCGAAATTTCGGCAAAAACGGTCAATGGTTAATTGTCAATTATATACTTATGTATGAAGCATTACCTACACAGAAGTCTCTTTCAAAACAAGCAGCTTTTGCTTGGTCAGCACCGGGAATGACCAACTTAAACCCGTTTTGAAATCTGAATGGGGAAATCTTTCGCCAACAAAAAGTCACCTGAAAACAAATCCGGTAAAAATGACCCTTAGTATAGTGTTTCGGAACCCTCGGTCCAATTTGCTTAGGTTTGAATGTAATTAACATGGTGCAGATATCCATATATCATGCATTACTGTGTGTGCTGTTGGCTAGTAGACATTATATTGAGGTATTCAACCAAATGAAAGGGTTTAATATAATTATTTGTACATATAATCACACAGAGTTGTACATATAATCACAAATATTTTTTCAAAGTATTATGTGGTTTATTTCAAAACTATTTTATTTACATAGGTCATTTAATAAATATGCCTTATTACAAAGTGAGCTAGACCAACACCATGCCAAGGAAAGAGTAAGTTCTTAATCAAGCTTTTATAAAGTCAAGTCATAAACCAACAAATGTTAAAGTACTGTAAATGAATGAGCGCATTTAACATTGTCTCATTTAAATACTGGGAAACATCTATTAAAAAAAAAAAAATAAGGAAAGTGTGTAGCTAGGGAAAACATCCATTTAAAATAAAATGCAGTACTGAGAGTTCAGTATCAGACCTTGTTCTAGAAGATATTATGAGATCCATAAACTATCAATTCATATGTTCATTCAACACATGCAATCATCTTTTGCCTATAATAAACTCCTCCCTATAACGCCCTCGTTGCATCTCAGTTGGCTATTGTATTCGCTATTGCCATTCTATAGAACACTTTCAGACTACCATGTGATAGAAAAATCTCTTTACGTTAAAAAAAAAGTCTCCTACTCCTAATTTTCAAATCTGTAAATAATATAATCCTGATTGTATTACTGAACAATATAAGCCTTATTAAGCAGTACTCTAACTGAATTTAAAGTTCCTACATTCCTACAAGACATGGGCAAAATAGGGAAAATGAAACAAAGGTTTGATAAAAAAACAAAAACAAAAAGCTGGTGGAAAAGAGTTCAGAGAGCTCAGAGAGGGAAGGAACATTTAAGAAGAGTGTAAGAAACGATTAAAGGCGTTGTAGGCAGACTCCAGGTCAAAGAGCATCTGGCGAACCTGGGAGTCATCCAGCTCATCAGATGCAGACATGCTGCTTAGTGTGGTTAACCTGTGAGGAAGAACAACACAGTGAGCATTGCTTTTAAAGTGCACAGAAACTGAATTTGTTTTTCAGGCAGTTGGATTTAGTTTTGATTTTAGATTTTGGCAGATGAGCTATTTTATTTAATGCGTTCTAAATGTGATTTACAAAAATTACTCCAGTTTTCAGTGTCACATAATTCTTCAGGAATCAAATTAATATGCTGATTTGGTGCTTAACAAACATTTCTTATTATTATCAATGTTAAACACATTTGCGCTGCTTAAATTTTTTGAACACTGATTTTTTCCAGTATTTTTCGATGAATAGAAACGAAAAAAACAGCATTTATTTGAAACAGAAATCTTGCGCAAAATTATAAACGTCTTTACTGTTTGTTTTTTACTTTTTGAATGGTACTGTATTTCTACAGTAAAACTAGGCTTACCAGAGGCTGACTTTGTCTTTGGCCTCTGAATCTGGAGGCATGTTGCTCATTCTATTCATGGTCTCCATGAGCTCTCTCAGGTCAGGCTGGATCTATATAAAACAATGTTCTCAGTTAATCAGTAATTCAAATCAAGAAGACTTAAACTGTCTCTAAATAACATTATGTTCATCTAATTAAGCAGATGTATTCTGTGAAATGAGTACCTCATCCATGGCACGAATCTCAAGTCGAAGTTTGTCCATCACTGTGATAAAGAGCTGCATGAGAGAAAACAAATATTAAAAAGGGTAAAGGAGCAGATTTTGCCAGTTATTATGATTGCTAAATGGCCACTATTTTAAATTGTAATAATATTTAACAGTATTACTGTCTTACTGTATCTTTGATCAAATAAATTCAGCTTGGTGAGCATAAGAAAATTCTTTCAAAAGCATTTTAAAATCTTACCAACAACAAACTTTTGAGCAGTAGTGTAAATATGGTTAGAAACATGAATATTTGGATTCTAAGGTTTGGTCAAAGAGCAATATTCTTACCTGGAGGAACATAATTTCTCTGAATGTTCTCTATGGGAAAATGCAGACAAGCAGATAAGTATGCATTTGATACAGTTTAAAAAATAACGAATAACTGATCTGAATCTGAATAACTGATGTTTACCTATTCATACATACAGTAGAAGTAGTATAATTTTGTATATTTTATTGCAATTTCAGACCATTCCTTATTCTCCACCTCTCTATTTTACTTGTCTCTAACCTGAGCATCTGTTCGATTCCTAAAGGCATCAAAGATTTTTTTCACAGCAACAGTCTCTCCTGTTTTTCTGTCCACAGCCTTCCAAACAATTCCATATGCCTGTGAAACGGATAAGAAAGTACACCGTAATAAAATTATAGTTGATTGAAGGAAAACATACAGTGTATGACTTAATGGTCAGTTGTCAGAGTAGGGTTGCCATGAATCCCTCATTTAAGTCATTTGTGCTCACTGCAGTTTCCATTTATTTACTGGAGTGACAGAAGAGAGATCATGCAGTCCACAGAACCCTTACTGACTGCCATTATTAGCAGTTCAAGCAGTTTCCCTATGATGTTTACTGCCATTATTAATCCAAAGGGTGGCCTTTCTTTGCACATACATATTTTATGTTAGATTACTATTTTGTAGTTTATATTTTTACTCAAAAGGAACTTTTTGTCTCATTACTTTTTGAAGGATTAAACAGAAACAACAGACCTTAATTGCACCTAGTTAAACTGCATCCGGCAACTACAGTACAGCAGTTCTTTCAAGCATATATGATCACTATTGTGCAAACCAATGAGTGATAGAAACAATAGCCCCATGATCCCCGTTTCAGTTTTAGGTGGGATTTCATACAAATTATTCCTCAAATTTTATTTAGGATAGTCCAGATGAAGCTGATGGTCTAATTCAAGACAATCAACATAACAGCAAATACATTACACTGTCTGGTTATTATATAACTATGTAAGATTTTATAAGGTTTATCTTGGCACTTTTTAAACACAATAACAGTAAATGTACATCTTACCCCTTTCCCAAGTCTTCTCTTGATTTCATATTTCAAAGTGATGTGTTCTTCCACCTCTGTGATGTTCATTCCGTCTATTTCCTGTTTTACCACTTAAAATTAATCTTAATGTTGATTGATTTTGATCATGGCAGGAATAAAATCCTGGCTGCTTGAGGAATGCAGGATTGCAACAAATCAGATTTAATAAACAAAAACTAAAAACAAGATCTTATGAATTCACTCCACTAACTAGGAGTGAACTTTTCCTAAGCGATATGCCGAATAATAAATCTAAACACGAATTTATCAAGCGTTAATCTTAATCACTATTGACCATCCAAACATTTAAACGGAGTTATATAAATTCTAATCTCGACCTGCGGAAAGCAGATGTTTGCGTCGTTTGGATTTCACCATTGGTATCTGTGGTTGCTCATATGGCCTGGTAGAAAGTTGCGCATCGCTTGGGTTTGTAATTGTTTGTCGCCATGGAGACGATACATAGGACGCAATCTCTTAAAGGAGCCGCATGTTTGCTAAAAGTGCGGTTACATTAGCGAAATTTCGGCAAAAACGGTCAATGGTTAATTGTCAATTATATACTTATGTATGAAGCATTACCTACACAGAAGTCTCTTTCAAAACAAGCAGCTTTTGCTTGGTCAGCACCGGGAATGACCAACTTAAACCCGTTTTGAAATCTGAATGGGGAAATCTTTCGCCAACAAAAAGTCACCTGAAAACAAATCCGGTAAAAATGACCCTTAGTATAGTGTTTCGGAACCCTCGGTCCAATTTGCTTAGGTTTGAATGTAATTAACATGGTGCAGATATCCATATATCATGCATTACTGTGTGTGCTGTTGGCTAGTAGACATTATATTGAGGTATTCAACCAAATGAAAGGGTTTAATATAATTATTTGTACATATAATCACACAGAGTTGTACATATAATCACAAATATTTTTTCAAAGTATTATGTGGTTTATTTCAAAACTATTTTATTTACATAGGTCATTTAATAAATATGCCTTATTACAAAGTGAGCTAGACCAACACCATGCCAAGGAAAGAGTAAGTTCTTAATCAAGCTTTTATAAAAGTCAAGTCATAAACCAACAAATGTTAAAGTACTGTAAATGAATGAGCGCATTTAACATTGTCTCATTTAAATACTGGGAAACATCTATTAAAAAAAAAAAAATAAGGAAAGTGTGTAGCTAGGGAAAACATCCATTTAAAATAAAATGCAGTACTGAGAGTTCAGTATCAGACCTTGTTCTAGAAGATATTATGAGATCCATAAACTATCAATTCATATGTTCATTCAACACATGCAATCATCTTTTGCCTATAATAAACTCCTCCCTATAACGCCCTCGTTGCATCTCAGTTGGCTATTGTATTCGCTATTGCCATTCTATAGAACACTTTCAGACTACCATGTGATAGAAAAATCTCTTTACGTTAAAAAAAAAGTCTCCTACTCCTAATTTTCAAATCTGTAAATAATATAATCCTGATTGTATTACTGAACAATATAAGCCTTATTAAGCAGTACTCTAACTGAATTTAAAGTTCCTACATTCCTACAAGACATGGGCAAAATAGGGAAAATGAAACAAAGGTTTGATAAAAAAACAAAAACAAAAAGCTGGTGGAAAAGAGTTCAGAGAGCTCAGAGAGGGAAGGAACATTTAAGAAGAGTGTAAGAAACGATTAAAGGCGTTGTAGGCAGACTCCAGGTCAAAGAGCATCTGGCGAACCTGGGAGTCATCCAGCTCATCAGATGCAGACATGCTGCTTAGTGTGGTTAACCTGTGAGGAAGAACAACACAGTGAGCATTGCTTTTAAAGTGCACAGAAACTGAATTTGTTTTTCAGGCAGTTGGATTTAGTTTTGATTTTAGATTTTGGCAGATGAGCTATTTTATTTAATGCGTTCTAAATGTGATTTACAAAAATTACTCCAGTTTTCAGTGTCACATAATTCTTCAGGAATCAAATTAATATGCTGATTTGGTGCTTAACAAACATTTCTTATTATTATCAATGTTAAACACATTTGCGCTGCTTAAATTTTTTGAACACTGATTTTTTCCAGTATTTTTCGATGAATAGAAACGAAAAAAACAGCATTTATTTGAAACAGAAATCTTGCGCAAAATTATAAACGTCTTTACTGTTTGTTTTTTACTTTTTGAATGGTACTGTATTTCTACAGTAAAACTAGGCTTACCAGAGGCTGACTTTGTCTTTGGCCTCTGAATCTGGAGGCATGTTGCTCATTCGATTCATGGTCTCCATGAGCTCTCTCAGGTCAGGCTGGATCTATATAAAACAATGTTCTCAGTTAATCAGTAATTCAAATCAAGAAGACTTAAACTGTCTCTAAATAACATTATGTTCATCTAATTAAGCAGATGTATTCTGTGAAATGAGTACCTCATCCATGGCACGAATCTCAAGTCGAAGTTTGTCCATCACTGTGATAAAGAGCTGCATGAGAGAAAACAAATATTAAAAAGGGTAAAGGAGCAGATTTTGCCAGTTATTATGATTGCTAAATGGCCACTCTACTGTGGAACCCTGGACAAATTGCATATGGCATTATTTCTTCTAGTCTGATTAAATAAATCTACTTAATGGAACTGTTGGAACAAGAAGGCATCCTCTGTGCTCAGTTAATAAACACTGGGGCGTTCCGGCATTAGCTCAAGAAGCTATTAATTCTAGGCTGCATAAAATCACTAAACAAAGTGTTCAAGATACATACAGAAACTATGTCTGCAATGCAGCGATTCAGGTTGCCCTTGTCATCCTTAATGGTGATTGGTCGATCCTCTTTGATCCTTTCCATAGCCAGTGGGCAGTCCAGCTGTCAGAAACACACAGGGGAAAAAATGTAAACTAAAGCATACTGATCTGCATGCAATGCACTGGACTAGCGAATTGCTAACCAAAGATACAAAAGAGCATTAAAATAGAATAGTTTAGAGTTACATGTACGCAAAATAAGCTATACCCTGTATTTCCGACAAAAGTCATCAATGGAGCCCACATCTGATCCCTGGACTTGTTTGAAAGCAGCCTTGTACTGGACAAGCAATCTTGAGCAAGCTCCTGTGTATCTGCAAAAACAAAGCAAATATTTATTATATGAATAGATGTAAATAAGGGTGTGGTCACACTGGCAACAGTTTATGGGCAAAAAAGGTCCATTGTCTATTGTTATAGATCAGTGATATATGAAGCTGTTCAACACACACAGTAAATTTACCTGACCAATGTTGGGAAAACGGTGTGCAAACATATTTCATATCACATGAAATTTCCAATCATGTGGACTCCTATTAAAATTTCTGGATTTTACTCGCAAACTGTGCATGTGACCACTGACCACACCTTAATTCACAATGTTTTGCACAAACAAATTAAGTGACTAACTCGTTTGGAGTCACACAGTCCTTAATGTAGGCTTTTTCCAGGGCCTGAAGTGTTTTGACCACAGCAAACAACTCTGCCATGTTGTCATACCTTTCAAAACAAAATAAAAAGGACATTAATTGCAACCCAATCACGTAATCACCATTCTGCATCATCTTTATTGTGACATCAATCAATAAGACAAATAAATAAGGAAACTCAAATTAGCCATTCCTGAACAGTATGATGTTCGTTAACTTACTTTTCTCTTTCTCTGGCATTTTTGTACAATTTCACTTCCTGTAACAGACAAAAATGTAATTTAAACACAGAGGAATGATGACAGATGAGCCCATTATTACAAATTATGGGCACGACATAACATTATTACCTCATACAGTTCTGGCTTGTTGGCAGGTGCTGGTTAAGTTAAAGCAGAGAGGCAAAACATATCAAATCAGATGAGACTAATGAAAATATGTGCAAGAGTAAAAGAAGTTTGAGATGCTTTGATTTTTTAGAGGCTCATGATTAAGCAGGTTCTCTCACTCACCTCCTCCCATCACTCCAGAGGCAGGTATTCCATGAAACATGATGAACTAACGTACAAAACAATTGAAGCGAGAATCAGATCATTATGTTTGGTTTAGCCACGGGTCAGCGCTATTCTCAGTGGAATAAATGATATATACACAGTGGTTGCATATCAAAAGCCACTGATCTGATCTCAGTATGTTTACAGACACATTGTGTACAAGGAAATACAATGAAACTTGTAGACAGACAATGTGTTACTCATTAGATTTTACACATTTAACGAACTGACTGATGCAAGGTATTGTGAATCCTAAACGGAGTATATAATACAACCGCTAATTTTGTTTTGTTTATTTCCTGACAAATACACAGCGATGTTAGCATAGCTAACGTTAGCATAGCTAAGATATTGCTTTCAATCCGCAGTGAGAGTACAAGAGACGTTGATGTCTCTCGTTAATTCACAGCTTATATACGTCTATAACGTTAATGTGGTTATGAGATGACATATTATTAAAACACTAAAGGCATTTTTAGCAAAAACGCACCAGGAAAAAGAGAATTCACTCACCCTTATATTGACGTCACCCACCGGACCGTAGCAAGCTGAAGTGACGTCGCCGGATGATTTCGTAACGTCCTGTTTTCACCGACTTATTCATTACAAAATATTATTGTTTATGCAAAGAATATACAATTTAATCTCAAGTAATAGGAATCATTATTTATTCAATTTAATATTCGAAGAAAACTGTAACATTTATGCACACGTTTCATGGTGACGGGTTGCCAAGTCCCTTTAATATTTCTACACTAATAAATATATCGCACTTTATTCACTCACTTATGTAATGCATAACTACATTATAGTATAATAACTGTTTGATATAGTGTATTATACATCATCGTAAGGCGATCACCTTCATTATTATAACCAGTGCTATTAAGCTAACAGAACTGATTTATCGGTCATTCACAAGAATACTTGGCAACCCGAGACTGTCTTTGAATACGCGCGCGGGAATGACTAGACAGCTAACAGTGAACAGAGGAGCTCGAGAAACTATATAAATAACTAAAATATAACGTTGTAAAAGTTAATGTCGATTGTTAGCTTTGTTTGTTATGAGACTGTGAGCGTTTCAGGGAATTGTTTGTCCAGTATATAAAGAGAGGCTGGTTATTTGAGTGCGTGGGATTTGTAAACAATGAAATCCACAAAGAACACTAAAGTGAAACCTGCAGCATCAGCTAAAGAAGAAGAGTGTGGAATATGGCTCGACACAAAAGAGTTAAAAGAAAAGAAACAACAGGTAACAACAACTGAATTCTAATTAAATATATTTAGACCAAATCTAACCTTTTAAGTGTATTGAAATTTTTTTTTCTTTTGTCTTCGTAAGAAGCACACCTCGCTTTTTTCAGACCGATGAGCTTTGTAAAAATCGACGCGTTTCAAAAAGGCGGGGCATAGAGGAGAAACAATAATGTACAGTATGTGGAAAATAATGTGGTTTTTTAACTTTAAACCGCATAAACACATTTCATTACACCAAATACACAAAATAATGTTCTTTTTAGCAGCATCATATGACCCCTTTAACACTACATGAAAGATGAAGGGATCTCAGATAGCTTTTAAAATTTTTTCAGAAACAGCTGACCCGTCCAATATCCAAATTCCTGAACCCACTTGCGAGATCAGGGGGATACAGTGTGGCAGTCGCACTCAGCTTCACTCAGACCAAACTCAACATGCCTGTCACTAGACAAAGCACTATATCAACCTTCTTTTCACCCAAATCCAGAGGTAAGACATTCCAGAGTTCTTTCATACTGTAACTGTTTCAGTTTACGTGATATTTTAAAATATATATACCTTTAATGTGATGATAAACTGTTAAAGCTAAATAATAATTACCTTTTGTCCTTTTCTGACTGGCATTTGTTTGCCCAGACCCTAACCCAAGTGCGGCTTATTCTGGGTTGTCCAGTTCCATGCACACAGAGGCACACACCGGGGCCAAACGGAAACATGATGTAACTTTGAAGCCATCTACAGAGTCAACCAGTCAAATATCTGAGGAGCACTGTGATGAAGATTTTGAAAGATTGTCAGCCAAGGACCAAAAAGAACAGTCTTTTCTCCATTTAATATGTGGAACTGAGCCAGAGGAAGAAGAAGAACCGTCTGAAAAAAGGAGACATGTTGTCCATTATACAGAAAATGTGTTAGAGACACAAGAATATTGGAATAAAGAAGCTTCAAATGAATATCCAAATCAGACAATTCCTGAAACTGAGACTTTCTTTCATGAGGAGTCACCGGAGCACTATGATCTGATGGTCTGGAAGCCCTCTGAAGATGCATGTAAGCATTTCCTGAAGTCTCCAGGTCCTAAACACACGGACAAACATGATTTAAGAGATCAGAAGGCCTCAGTTAAGGGGTCTATCTTAACTTCTAGGCCTGCCAATGAAAACCACAAAAGATGGAGAGCTTCTGTGAATACTAATAAAAATCAGGAGCAGTCTTGGCACAAAAATAAGGCATCACCCATGAAACGGATGGGGAAAGAGAATAGCTGGCCTGCATCACCTATTAAAAATGCTCCAACATCGCCTTTTAAACACCATCTCATTTCCAGTCCAGCTAAGTGCAGGTTAAAGGAAAAATACACTTTTCCCCCCAAAAAATCAGGTAAGGAACTTGTAAACACAGAGACGGTTGGAGAAACTTTTGCTACGCTGTTTACTCAGGACTCAGAGGGCTTCTGTGTGATTGCTCATCGTGACCAGCACTTAAGGAGCCCACTAAGAGACCAGAGCAATTTATCTGTGGGCAAAGATTACGGGAATAGTCCATCTGCCACTTCTTTAGGAAAAGAGGAGGAGGAATCAGATCTAGAGCCAGAGATGCTTTTCACCCAAGACTCAGAGGGAAACATGGTCATCAAGCATTAGCCAGAAACAGATGCGAAATACCACAAGAACACAGAATTTTAAGTGTTTTTTTTTTATTGATTTTCTTTCTTAAAATTTTGAAGCTCTTGATTTTGTTAAAGTTGTAATTAAAATATTTGAAAATTTAAATGAACATTCAATTCAAAAATAAACATTTGTACAAGTACAAATGAACCCCAAAAATGATTTGTTGTGTAATATTTTATAAAGATTCACTGCTTGCCAGCAGATGGCACCATGAAGCTTTTACTGTCAATGTTTGGTGTATTCCTTAAGCTGTGCTTGTAGAATCTGTATATTTTAAAGTAGGACATGACGTGTCACATTAAACAAGTTGAGTACATTTGAGTTTAAAAGCTCTATCATTTGAAATTAATTTACGTTTTGTATTGCTTTAAATTACCAGCATGGAGCAAGGTGAATACTTCACATTCTGTTCTCGTTTGCCAAGTTGATGATCCCCCATTGCTGCTCTGTTTAAATTTGCTTTCAGGGACAGTTTCATTAAAGAGCCATGTGCTGACAAATTCACTCATTTTTCATGCATTTATAATAAATGCCATGGACTCCCAAATGTAATGATCCCCTTGTAAGGGACCCCTTCCTAAAATATAAAGGCAGTTTCATGTATAAAAACCCATTTATACTGTGTGTGAAAAATATTAAGTGAGATATTAGAAGTACAACAAAATTAGATTAAAAAAATTAGATTACCATTTTTATAGTGAATTAACTGTCATATTTTTCTTGTACTAAAGCAAAATTTAAACAACAGGGTTTTTTTCACAGAACTTTTTTGCTGATTAGTTTTTTGAACTAATCAGCAAAAGAAATAATGAAAGTATTTTAGAAAGAAATAATGAAAGTAAAAATATAATATCTTAAGTGCACATTTTAACTGACAGCTCTATACATTTAGCAAAAATCTTTGTCCTTTTTGAACAACTAAACGTTATCAAACTTAATCAGAAGATGGTAAAAAGGTCAAAAAAATTATAATAAAAATAAGTGTAGTGAGTTTACAATTATTTTATTTGATTAAATTGATATGGTAACGTGAAAATACTTTGGTAAATTACAATTTAAGGTGTGTGATTTAATACAGTGTACACATTCTACTTTGTTTAAGCATCATTTATAAATGTGCATTACATTGTTTAGTTAAATGTTGACTGTTTACTGACCAAGCAAATGTAACATGATTCCCTTTTATGGACTGAAGAATGCTACATATTAACACATGTTGGCATACATTCAAAATGAGCTGAAGTGTTCAAGACCTTCCTGTTGAATAAACATTTAAAGCATGTACATTTACAAGTGATGTAAATATGTGAGTGCAAAGTGAGAACATCTAGGAAACTATTTTGGACATGAAGTTTGATATTTAGTCGCCCTATTTACTTAATGTTATAACACAGCACATGTCATTACTGGTGTTGAATGACATGGTGCCTGTCAATACAAACATTTGACTACCAAAAGTTAATCTCAGAAATGAGATTCTAAATGTCTGAGATTATAAATGAAATATAGAGTGATAGAATTAAAATTAAGCAATATTTGAACTATATTAAAATAATATAAAATCTTGTAAAAAAATTACCCCCAAAAACACTCATTCATTCGCAGAACAAAGACCATTTATCACACTCATAGAATAAAAAGAGGTTTGATTGTAAAATATCCATTGATTTTTCTCCTTTGCTCATGATTGCACATATTCTGCATCCAAAGCCTGAAGATACAAGATTACCTTTCCAAATAAAAGTTTGTGTGTGTGTGTTTTTGCAGAAGAAAATATTATGAACTGAAACTGGGATTTGTAATCTGTAGGAAATGTAAAATGTGACTGCAGCACTGCACAAAACATAAAGAACTGGTTTCTCCATAAAAACATGTTAAATATAGCTAAATATAGTCATAATATTTTGAAAGATATGTTTAATGTTTTATTATATTACTACACAGAACCAAAATGTATTAAACATGAGAATTTATGACATCAACACAAAGTACTTGATAATGTCAAAAAAGACAAAAACAAACAAAATCCATACTTTAATAAATTAATGATTTTTTAAATAAAATATATATTGCCATAGGAATAAGTACAAATTTGATTGCTTACTGATTCATTATTTTAACTTAGTACTTTGAGTTGCTGACTAAAAAAATCCCATATTCACACATAATGGTGCCATCATCTGTAATTACTTTTAATGTATAATAATTAATATATGTATATTATGTATTTTTATTGCTGCTTAGTTAAGGAGAAACGTCTCCATCTCCATTTGTTGAAATGTTTCATAATTGGTTTGTGGAAATGGAACTCTTGTCCATATTTTGCATTTTCTGAGCCTAAAACTACACCTCTCACAACCACAATGTATGAATTCTTCCGTCTCCGCTAACAGTGTGATACAGTGAAAGTGCATGAAGAATTCTGGGTAGGAGGAAAGCGATGACGAGCTGGAAAAGGAATCAACCAGCAATCTCTGTGGGCTCTGTCACCAGGCTGGAGCCGTCCCAAACCGTTTTAAACTGCTCTGGGATTGGAAACTCCCTCTGTTGAATACACAAGAAGATATTAGTCAATGTAATGTATAAACAATGCTTCAACTTTTAAAGTCCCCATGAAATCAAAATTAAAAAGGGGCGGGCTGCTTGATATGTCCCGCCCTGTCTTCCTGTTTCAGTTAAAATGACATCAACACAGAGTAACGCTGCGTGTTTCTAAGCATTTCAGGGGACCTTTAAGGCTCATATTTGAATGTAAAGCAGGTCAAATCTCTGGAATAGAACATTGTTATTCTGGTACACGACATAATGTATCAAGAAAGTTATTTGTTAAAATGAAAGGTTATGCTAGCTCTATTTGTAGATATTTCCAGTCAGTGTAAATAAACTTACATAATCATCTTCTCCCTCAGGAACGAGGACGTTCATCTCAGAGCTCTTGGCACTGACAATCTCACAGTCAAGTGAATCCTTGCTCAAGTAGACATGGCACCCCTCAGTCTTGTTAATGGAAATATTAGGAACTTTTCCCATTACCTGAAAGGCCAAAACAAGTTTTGTGTTGTTCACAGGCAACAAAATACATAAGGGTGAAAAAACAGAGCTGCTCAGTCTGTAGTCCAAAAACTACAATTAGCTTGAAAGAATTAGTATTTTTGAGCCACGAGTTCCTACTTGGTGAAAACAAGCTCTAAAAGTCTCTTGTGCTCAACAAGGCTGCATTTATTTGATAAAATAAGGTAAAACCAGTAATATTGTGAAATATTATTACAATTTAAAACAACTGTTTTCTATTTTAATATATTTTAAAATGTAATTTATTTCTGTGATGGCAAAGCTGGATTTTCAGCAGCTATTACTCCAGTCTGCAGTGTCACATGATCCTCAGAAATCATTCAGCATTTATTTGAAAATTTTTGTAAAAAATGTTTTACTGTCAATGTTGATCAGTTTAATGCCTCCTTCTTAAAAAAAAAAAACAATATTATATGTGGTTGATGAATTGGGCAATGTTATGTAGTAATTTATTAGTAATTTTTGCTATAAAAGCATGTAGCAGCTACAAACATGTGTAATTTATGTCCGTTAACATCTCTTCAGTATCAACAGATGCATACCACAATGTTATTTAACATTGGTAGTTGTGTTGATTACGATATTCGTTATTGATTCTGGCAGTTATGATCACAATTCATGCACATACATTATGCTAACACATTCGTTTTCACAATAACAACCCTGAGTACAGATCACTCACAGATCAAAACCTTCAGCCTACAACTTGTTATGCACAAACATTTACATCTAACCTGAAGCTGAATGTCTCTGGAGTTGATGATATACTTTCCGTACCCACTGTATATATATATATATATATATAAAATATATTATTAATATTATAATATAATATAATATAATATAATAACGACCACTATGCTAACTATGCTAAATAATATAATAAAATAATTAGGTTAATGAATCTCTTCCAATAACAACCCTGAGTACAGATCACTCACAGATCAAAACCTTCAGCCTACAAACTTGTTATGCACAAACATTTACATCTAACCTGAAGCTGAATGTCTCTGGAGTTGATGATCTCAACGATGCCCACCACACTGTCAAACACGAGTCCGAGCTTCTTACAGTTATCTGTGAGGAGAGAGACAGACATTAGCCAGGCGTGGTGCGCGGTGCTGCGATAGAGGAGGAGATAACGTTACTGAATAAGAGCAGCTGGTGTTATGAGGAGCTCCTCTTACCCACTATGATGGAGTTGACTTTGCCTTTGATCTGGAGTGTGGAGTTGCTACAGCTAAAGACATAAACCACCTGTCTGAGCTCGGTCTCCTCTATCACCAGGTCATGAGACTTCTCCTGGTGCTCCTACAGGACAAATACATACAATAGAGCCACTAAACACATGCTGGAGGCACGGTAAATCAATAAGAGTCTCACTACAAGTGCAGGTATAGCTTAGTTTACAAGTGTGCAAGTGTTCTCATTTTAAGACATCTCTACATTCATCCAACCCACTTGTTGGGAGATAATGATTATTTTTTTGGTGATCCCTGCCTTAATGAATCTCTTCCACTTTCAAATGAATCCTATGCAACTGAGAATGATTATTTTATATAAAACCTTTAGGCTCTGATGGTATAATATTAATAAAAAACGATATAATAAAAATAACAACAATAACAACAAAAATAACAACAACAATAATAATAATAACCACTATGCAAAGTGTAATTATTAGTAGTAGTAATATTTATTATATATATTTGTATTATATATATACAGTGGGTACGGTATAATATAATAACGACCACTATGCTAACTATGCTAAATAATATAATAAAATAATTAGGTTAATGAATCTCTTCCATTTTTAAATAATTTCTATGTCACTGAGAATGATTATTTATATATAATTTTTAGGCTCCAATAAATGTATTTCTATTCAGAAAATTGTATAATAATAATAATATCACAATGCTATTTTATTTAAATAATAATAATAATAATAATAATAAGAAGAAGAAGAAGACATTTATATATACATTAGCAGAACGACACAATTGACCAATGTGAATCTAGTATTGCTTGGAGCTGTGCAATAAGAATAATGTAATATTTTTCCATCGCATCAGACCTTATTATATATAAATCATCTCTTTTGTGTTTAACACAACTTTTTTTTTGCTTCCTTTTAATAAAAATAATTTAATTCACTAGTTGTAGTGCTTAATGTGCTATATACTGCCTTCAATGCTTTAGAAATAGCATGTAGTAAATCAATAAAAACTCTAGTATGATACAGTATTAACAGTAGTATTCTACATTATTGTCACACAGCCTCAACATATTGCATGTTTAATTTAGTGAGCAGCATTTAGTCTTGAAAAGAAAAAATGCAAACCAACAATTTTAAGTTATTTTACAAGTGAACTGAAAAAACTAATAAATTAATTTGCATTTTTATTGCCAAGATGATGATAATGACATTGATAATGTCAAGATAATGACATTGACTTAAAAATATCAAGTTCGTTGCATTGTGGGATACATTTGTTTTTTCTTTTATTTAATTTTGCCAAATGTAGCAGAACGATTACAAGTAGTATGATTTAACGCTGGACACATTCAGACACATGCCAGTTGATGTCGTGTGGGAACCTACCACTCTCCACTTCTTTCCTTCCAGCTCCAGCACGGGGGAATGTTTTTTG